AACACAAAAAAAAATATGGATACTATAGCCGCTACTCAGAAACCTCTCCAGTAAATCTTCGCCATAGAAATTAACCTGCATGCTTTGTTTGTTATTGGGAAATACTTTTTCAATAAAGTCTGAAGTTCAAATCATTTTATGCTGCAGTTTTGATGGCCTTTTTCTATGTCAAGGGCAGTTTTCTAAAGGTCTAATATTCTACAAATTAAAGTCTTTCACTAAGAATGATCTCATTAAGGAAACACCATCATTGGTGTCAAATAAAACATTCAGTTAATTTTTTTGACAGAAAGAGTTATTGTAATTTGTAATATGTGTCAGTTTTACTGTAGGCTACACACATGAAACCAAAATGAAATCATTTATTCTTCTACTTTGCTAAAAATCTGTGTCCCACTTTAATATTAAAGTCAACAACTTGCCACATTTTACATCACAAAACATAACATTTCCATAATTTTCAGAACAGTGATTATGAATCTAAAAAGCCCAGTTGCTCTTTATTACATATCACACATTGAGTATTTTACCTCTGGCTTGACTTGCACTTATTTAGCCCATGTATCTATGTTGTTTATTAGTTATGTTATCTGGTTAGATGCTGGCAGCACATGTGCTGATGTAAGTGGAACCTTGTGCTATTTTCTTCTGCCACCAGTGGATGGCTCCCTCATCTTTTATCCTGGTCAGTGGGCCTTTACTGTATGCACTTGTTTTCAGAAAAACGAAAACGAGTATGATGATGTTGAATCACATGTTCAGTATCTTTGTTGAGGGTGTGCTCTGTTGTGTTATTAAAGAGGCTCTTCCTCTGTCAACATAGGCTACAGCTGAGGAAACACTTGCACAGGTACGTTCAAAATAGGGTTTAACATGAGAAGAATGCTTTGCTTACCTTGGCAATAGATAGCATATAACTAATTTAGTACACTAATTATTTTATATTCTGTTCCAATTGTAATGTTTAGCAACTTGCTGCTGTGATAGATTTTCTTTTGATTGTCTTTTTCATGTGAAGTTTTTGCCACAGATGACAGTGACAGAGATGTTCCGAGGAAAAGCTTGGATCCCAGGTTGCATCCTGCTTGTGCTGGTCACATTATGTGGTCAAACTGTTCACTGCCAAAATCAACACGAAGGTTTGTGATAGTCTGTACAAAGAAATAAGGTCAGAGGTAATGCAGATTTGTCCTGTGAGGTGAATATCTTTAGGCCTAAATGATGGAGCCCTTAGGCAAACGTTTTAGTCTTTACTTGCCAGCTAAAACATTTTATTCATAAACATATATTGAGTTGCTGTGAACTGAAAGAGGAAGCTGATTCCATGAAATGTTTATGCCTATTCCTATTTTAGTTTTTCGTCATGGTCTCAGATGTAGTCGACACCACTCATGCAAATAGAGCATCGAGGATTTGGCCAGCAGGTGTCTCATACTGATTGTATCAATTGTTGCATACCCTCTTTGTACAGTGACTTTCTCAATTTTTTTTCCCATCACTAGCTGTTAAAAAACACAGCACCATAAACTGATTTAAGCTGCAGTTTGTGTCTTCAGTTTTCTCCTCAGGGTAATCTTTAGTTCTTGCTCTTTGTTAGCGACTCACCTGACAGAATTTTAAGCTCAGTGATTGGATGCCTCTTTCATGCATCTTAGGAGTCACAGTTACTGAACATTGCTCTCCAATTTTTATAAAAAAAAAGCATATTTATTATTACAGTTTAACCAGAACATCTTCCACAGTGAAAGCTAAACATGTATCAAGGCTTTTTGTCAAATGACTGTAATTACTGAGACTAATGTTTTATAAATTACTTACAGGTTCTACACAGTTGAGAGAACTGAGACTCATTATTGTTGGAAAAACTGGAGCAGGAAAGAGTGCTTCTGGAAACACCATCCTGGGCCGTCAAGATGCCTTTAAAGAGAGCATGTCTCCTGCGTCTGTGACTCAAGGCTGCCAAAGAGAAGAGGTAAAACATGGGGACAGGAAGATTGTTGTCATCGACTCTCCAGGATTGTTTGACACAAACAAAACACAAGCAGAAGTGAAAACAAACATTGAGGACTGTATTAGACAGTCGGTTC